AAAAAAAAAAAAAAGGTGCTATACATATTCCCATGAAGGTTTTTTTCTGAACAAAAGTTTCACTTCTCTTGGGTATATAGCTAGGAGTAGGATTACTGAGGTATATTATAACTGAATGTTTAACTTTATAAGAAATTGCCCAACTTTTCCAAAGTGACTTACAATTATGGTTCCCATCAATAAGGAATGAGTGTCTCAGTTGCCCCACAAACTTGCCAACACTCTGCTTTGTTATCTGGTATGAGATTTTTTTCCTATTTTAATAGACGTGTAGTATTATCCCATTGTAGTTTTAATTTGCATTTGCCTAATAACTAATAAGACTGATTATCGTTCACATGCTTATTCGCCACCCATTATCTTCTTTGGTAACATTAGTCCGTTCAGATCTTTTTCTCCTTTTTGATTGGGTTGTTTGGTTTCTTGTTATGAGTTTTCAGAGCTCTTTATATAGAGAGATATTCAGAACATAAGTTGTCTATCAGATATACAAATAAAAAATATGTTTTCCCAGTCTATGACTTGTCTTTTTATATTCTTAATAGTATCTTTCAAAGAGCAGACATTTTTAATGTTGATGAAATCCAATTAATTTTTCTTTTGCCTAATTTAATGACAAAAAGACTTCACCTACATTTTTTTTCTATATATATTATAGTTTTAAGCTTTATATTTAGGTTTATGATCCATTTTCTATATTGTTGTTGTTATTTGCCATCGAGTCAAACTCAACTCATAGCAACCCCTCCGTGGGTTTCCAAGGCGATATGACTACGCAAGTAGATTGCCCAACCTTCCTTCCAAGGAGTGGCTGGTAAGTTTGAACCGCCAACCTTCTGGTTAGCAGTCAAATGCCTTAGGCACTATGCTACGAGAGCTCCTGTTTTCTATATACTGTGAAGAATAGACTGATTGGGTTCATTTAATTTTTGCATGTGGATATTCAGTTGTTCCAGCATTATTTTTTTTTCTTTAAATAGGAACTATCTTTTCTCCATTGACTTGTGTTTGATATATTTGTTAAACATCTATTGAATGGTGTATTTGTGAGGCCTAGTTTTGCCCTCTATGCTCTATTCTATTGTCTGTGCTTTTGCCATTACCGCACTGTCTTAACTATAACTTCACAGTAATTCTTCAAGTCAGACGAGCTGGTGCTTACGACTTGGAGGCATCTGTCTTCATTAGACTTCAGGCTACTTGGTTGCCCTGTGACTTTAGCTTTCTTAAGGGTTGAAGAAAAGTTATGATTTGGTATTTTATCATGCTTTCATTTATTATTAGCATTAAAGCAATATTCTTCCCCAATGAAGAGCATTAGAATATGAATAGATGAGAAGGAGGCGAGAAGGGATGCAGGAAGATAGTGTAATAAGCTGCCTAAATACTCCAGTGTGACCGGATGGTAGACTGGGGTGGTGATAATGAGAATGAAGGATAATGGAAAATGAGGTACATATTAAGGAAATTAGTGTTGAGAAGTTAATAGGAAGTGAGGAATAGGGAGGACCACATCCAGGTAAATGGCTTGGGCCATGGAGTGTTGATGGTGCCATATCCTGAGATGGAGATTACCA